ATGTATGTGGAGCAGCAGAGGAGGTAGCAGGATCTTTCCCAGAGCCCAAGGAATCCTGACCCCTTTCTGCATTCCTGCCATATTCATTCCCCTGATTCCCAGTGCTAAATTCAGGAAGAGAATTTCCCAAGGTTTGGAAGCCTGGAGTTTGCCCCTGAAATAAGTGTTTTGAGAATTAAGAGAAGGCACTGGAGCTCTTAAAAACTAAATTAATGTAAAGGATTTAGCTAAGAAAAAATGCTAAGTGCTCTCCAGTGGCTGTCCCAGGGTAATAGACGGTTGGCTCACTTTTGTTGTTAGCCCTGAGCAATCAGCCCTGCTGTTGGCCAGAGTTCCACAAGGTTTTAGACCCCTTAAGTGTCAGCTAAGCCTTCTATTTTTCTTCCTGAGCCAGGAAGCTAAACTGGCAGATTTAAGGAAGATTTTCAACAAGGGTTAAAACAAATGGGGTGTGTTCCTAACTCTGACTTAACCAGAAATTCAGTTAGCAGGATCAATTCCCCCCTCCCTGGAACTGGGGTCTCCCTGTAACAGGTGGAAAAGCCAGCCTCTAAGGCTCCTGTCCTTTCCTGGAAGGCTGGAGCTCCCAGAAGTGTTTGCGCTTGTTCCAGCATCTGATCAGAAGCCAGCAGTTGTTCTCTGGATTTCTTTGAATCGTTTCCCTGTGCTCTTGTCTGGGAAGAATTAAATTAAACAAACAAAATCCAAACCCAGAATTTGGTCCAGTGGGGATGTGGGGGTAGGCAGGTGTCGTTAACCACCCCACGTGTGATAAAAATGTTGCTATGTTCTTCATCTCTTAGTTCTGGCTTCCAGAGCTGGGTGTTCAAACAATAAAGACCTGGAATGATTACAGAAGAGGATGCCACACACACGTTAAGATGAACTGTCATTGCAGTGCTCTTTGAGAGTTTCTGGGCATTTCCAGAGAATGATCACGCACTGGTTTTACAATTTATGATCTGAAAATTACATCCAAGAAATTTGTCCTTTGGGTGAAATTTGTGATTCTTGTCACCTATTTTTTTTTCCCCTGGAAAAAGACCTCTGGGTTGCTCCCTTGTGTCCCCTGGAGCAGTGGGCACATACTTGGAAGAAGTCCTTATTCCACACACAGTGTTCTTGTTAGATGCTGTTGAGTTGGTTCCAACTCACAGTGACCCCTTGTACAACAGAATGAAACGCTACCTGGTCCTGCACCATCATCACAATCTGCTATTTTTGAGCCCATCATTGAAGCCACCACATCAGTCCATCTCACTGAGGGTCTTCCTCTTTTTCACTCACCCTATACTTTACCAAGGTTGATATCTTCCTCTACGAATTGGTCCTACCTGATAACATGACCAATGTATGAGATATGAAGTCTTGTCATCCTCGCTTCTGAGGAGTAATCTGGATTTACTTCTTCCAATACAGATTTGTTCATTCTTCTGGCAGTCCACGGTTATGTTCAACATTCTTCACCAACACCATCATTTGAATGCATCAATTCTTCTTCAGTCTTCCTTATTCATGTCCAGCTTTCACATGCATATGAGGCAACTGAAAATACCATGACTTGGATTGGGTGCACCTTTTTAGAGAGTGGGAATCAAAGTGTGGGCTGAGATAACCATGTGTGTTTGAGGGGGGAGAAATGCCTTAATGGGGAACACCCTATCACCACATTGGGGTCTTTCTTAGTGGTTTATTTGGGTGGGATGTCAGAAGGCTTTAGGTAGATGGATAGTTGCCTTTGAGTCAACTCTGACTCATAGGGACTGTGTGCACAACGGAATGAGATGTTGCCTGGTCCTGCATCATCCTCACTATCACTGGCGTGTTTGATCCCACTATTGTGGCTGCTGTGCCAATCCATCTCATTGAGGGTTTCCCTTACTCTCTACTCCAACAAACATGATGTCCTCCTCCAGTGATTGTAACTTCCTGATGTTGTGCAAAGCAAGCAAATTGAACAACATTCTGTTGTGCTCCTTAGGGTTTTCATTGGCTAATTTTCAGAAGTAGGTCAGTAGGACTTTCTTCCTAGTCTGTCTTAGTCTGGAAGGTCCTCTGAAACCTGTCCACCATGAGTGACCCTGCTGGTATTTAATATACTGGAGGCACAGCTTCCAGCATCATACCAACATGCAAACAAACCACCATCACAGAACACACTGATGGATGGGTGGTGATAGAGGGCTTTAGTCTCCAGCTTTCTGTTGGCAGGTAATTTTTTAATGACTTAACTTAAAATGCACCCCTGGTATTTCTGTCTTATTGAACAAGTGGTGCCCGGACCTCAAAGACTATCAACAGGTTCTGGGAAAGCTGTCATTTTGGAAAGGACATCAGGAATCATGACCCAGGGCCAATGGTCAAAGCTAACCAGCCAACCAAAGGTGCATCTATCAGCTCTATGCTGCATGTTCTTGGCTGCCAGCAGTTCAGGAAACTTCCTGAGTTTGTCAAGGCAGGATTTGGGCTAATGGATTTGGGCCAATGAGGGAAGGGCTTCTAACCTTCTGTCTTCTAGATTCTCTAGAGTGGTGGTCTTCAAGTTTTTGTGATAGCCTATTGTTTAACAATAAAAAGGGTTTATGCATGCACTTCCAATATATGCATATTCATTTATTTTTGGCAGTTATTCAAAGGAGAGTCTGTGGTTTAAAATTAGAAAAGTTTTTGTGCCAGGGTTGTATCCTTTCATCATACTTATTCAATCTGTTTGCTGAGCAACTAATCCTAGAAACTGGACTATATGAAGAAGAACATGGCATCAGGATTGGAGGAAGACTCATTCACAGCCTGCCATATGCAGGTGACAGACACAACTTTGCTTGCTGAAAGTGAAGGTGACTTGAAGCACTTACTGACAAAGATCAAAGACTACAGCCTTCAGTATGGGTTACACCTGAATGCAAAGAAAGCAAAAATCCTCACAACTGGACCAATAAGCAACATCATCATAAATGGAGAAAATATTGAAGTTGTCAAGGCTTTCATTATATTTGGATCAACAACCAATGCCCATGGAAGCAGCAGTCAATAAATCGAACTACATATTTCATTGGTCAATTCTGCTGCAAAAGAACACTTATTTAAAGTGTTAAGGAGCAAAGATGACACTTTGAGGACTAAGGTGTACCTGACTCAAAACCGGAAACCAAAACTAAACTCACTGCCATGGAGTCAGACCCCTCATTGGGTTTCCTAGGCAGTATCCCTACGGAAGTAGATTGACCAATCTTCCTTCCGAGGAGTGGCTGGTGGTTTTGAATCACCAGCCTTCTAGTTACCAGTCAAATGCCTTAGGCACTACGCCAACACAGGGCTATTTTTAATTGCCTCATATGCATGTAAGAGCTGGATAATTGTGGTGGTTAAGTTTGCCTGTCAACTTGGCTGGGCCTGGTTGAGTGGCTAGGCAGCTGAATGTAGTTTTTCCCCATGGTGAGATTTGTAATTAACTCCATGGAGTAATTAACTCTATTGGAGCAGCTGAATAGCTGCTTTGGTTATGTGGTCTGCTTCCCACATATAAGAAACAGCTTTGGGAATGGTCTCTAGCTTATGGCACCCTTGGACCCTGCATGTAGCTGTGTCATTGTTCCGCAGCCTGCCCTGCTCTGCCGACCTTGGGACTTTAAATGGACTTGAATTAATGGCCTGCCATGTGGTTTAGTAACATTGGTACTGTGCCTTTTTACTTGTTGACCTTGGGCTTGTCAGCCTCAGCAGCCAACAGCTGAGTGAAGGAAAGCCTCCAGCTTCAGTGGGCCGGGAGCAGGAGGCAGAGCTGAAGCCCAAGGTTGAGGGGCATTCACCCAGCCCCTAGAGGCTGGCACTTTGAACTTGGACTTAAAGCCTCCAAACTGTAAGAGAATAAACTCCTGCTTCTTCGAGCCATCCCATTTGTGGTATCTTTTTGTCAGAATGGTAGTAGGTAACCAGATGAATAAGGAAGACCAAAGGACAACCGATGCATTTGAATTATAGTGTTGGTGAAGAGTGCTGAATGTACCATGGACTGCCAAAAGAACGAAAAAATCTGTCCTGGAGGAAGTATAGCCAGAATGTCCCTTAAAAGTGAGAATGGGGAGCTGTTGCATTGTGGTAATCTGTGGTCAATGACATGAGACAAAGTATATGTGAACTGCTGTATGGAAAGTGAATTTGCTCTGTAACTCTTCAGCCAAATCACAATAAAAGAGAGAGAGAGAGAGAGAGGGAAAGAGAGAGAGAGAGAGAAATGAGAATGGTCAGACTTCTGTCATACTTTGGTCAGGTTTCAGAAGGGACCAATCAGTGGAGAAAGATATGACTTTACATGCTGGGTAAAGGCAACAGTCAGTTTTTTTACTGAAGCAGTCAATGAGATGTACTGTCAGAACCAACAAATTTGTCTTGGAAGTAAAGCCAGAATCCTCCTTAGAAGCAAGGATGGCAAGACATTGTCTTGTGTACTGTGGACATGTTATCAGAAGGGACAAGTCCCTGGAGAAGGATATCATCCTTGATGAAGTAGATGGTGAGAAAAAAAAAGAAAAAAAGGAAGACCTTCAATGAGATGGACTGACATATTGGCTGCAACAGTGGGTTCAAATATACCTACTATTGTAAGCATGGTGCAGGACCAAGACAACATCGCCAACTAAACAGCTCCTAACAACAACAGCAACATATTTTGCTTACTTATTTTCTCTATTGTCTCTCTTCACCTTCTGTTTCCATGAAAGCAGAGATTTTGGACTGTTTGGCTCATTGTTGTGACCCCCAGTGCCTAGAACAGAGCCTGACACATAGGAGTAGAACTCAATAAATATTTTTTGAATGAATTAACAGTGTGCAGTGACAGAGGAAGGGGCCCTGGTGGTGCAGCAGTTAAGTGCTCAACTGCTAACCAAAAGGTTGGCCGTTTGAACCCACCAGCAGCTCCTTGGGAGTAGGACCTGGCAATGTACTCCCATAAAAATTACAAGGACCGAAGCTTCCTGTGGTGGGTTTGAAGAGAAGCCATGGCTAAACACCATCCGGATTTGATTTTTTGCCACAAGCAGGCTGGTGTTGCCATCGGAAGACTTTGTGAAAAATGTTATGGCAAGTGTGTGATCTGTGACTCCTATGTGCGTCCCTGCACCCTGGTGCGCATATGTGATGAGTGTAATTACGGCTCTTACCAGGGGCGCTGTGTGATCTGTGGTGGCTCTGGAGTCTCCGATGCCTACTACTGTAAGGAGTGCACCATCCAGGAGAAGGATGGAGATGGTTGCCCAAAGATTGTCAATTTGGGGAGTTCTAAGACTGATCTCTTCCATGAACGTAAAAAGTACGGCTTTAAAAAGAGGTGATTGGTGAGTAGTCCCTGCCTCCCCCCATCAGGCTGCTGCAGCTGCAAGCGAATACACCCCAAACCAGCAGCAGAAAGGAAGGAGAGACCAGAACGTCACCAGACTTGGCCTGTTGGTATACTGGCCCCTTCCTCGCCCTCCCCCAGACACATAGTAGCAACAGAAAAGGATTCTTCCTAGTGCACTCTGCAGACTGTCTTAGAGAGAAAGTGATGGTTAGGTACTAATTTTTCCTGAATTTGAGGGGCAGGCCTCATCCTGTACATGTACGTGTTCTTGCTACACCAAGAACTTCTAAAGCAGGAATGTATACTACTGTTTTAGTCTTCTCTTTAGAGAGTTGCCTGTGAAGCTGCCCTCATTACCACAGTGGAAAGTGTCTCTTACAGCAGCTCTGATGGCAGTCGCCTTTGATGAAACATGGTCAGGGTCTAGTTGGGGCTGTGAGAACAATCTGGGGGATTTTATCTTGTAAAGTGTCCTAGGTGGTTTACTGTTACTTTTCTGAGAAATCAGAAACCCTTTCTGTTGCTATTGTGTTAATAAAGTTGATGTTGATTTTCTGGTAAAAAAAAAAATTACAGGGAGCTCTGGTGGCATGGTGCCTAAGGCATTTGACTGCTAACCAGAGGTCAGTGGTTCTAAACCCACCAGCTGCTCCGCAGAAGGAAGATGAAGCAAGAAAATCCTATGGGACACATGGGGTCACTGTGAGTCAAAAAATTGATCTAGGGACTCCATTCAGCTTTCTGTACTGTGTACATGCTGATGGTTTCCTTCATCCTGGATGATTATCTTTGTTTTGTCTTTGTCCTATTCAAGGCTTGATAAAAGTGTATCTCTTGGGGGAAAAAAAAAAAAAGAAATCAATCTAGCAATAGCCACAATTACATAGACATCTCAGAAATTTTTTAAAGATGAGATAAAAACAAGTATTATAGTAGAAGTGTTAATATTTTCTCCTGGGATATCCCTGGGGTGCCTGGGTCCCACTTAGCTGATCCCTGGTCTAGAGTTAGGAGAAGGCAGAGAGTTTAACTTCATAGTAGGGAGGGTTTTGCTTATTGTTAATTTTTTGTTATGTATTTAACCTTTTATTATTATTATTATTATTATTATTCCCAAACATCTGTAACATTAAAGAGAATATAGTATGGCCAATCTTGTTTGATCTAATTACACTCTCCCTGTATCTCCCTACTTCCTCCCAGTCCTCTTTACCTTCTCCTAGGTTCTTTAAGGGAGCTCTGGTAGCATAGTGGCTAAGACACTTGCCTGCTAACCAGACGGCTGGCAGTTCAAACCCACCAGCCACTCCTCGGAAGGAAGGTTGGGCATTCCTACTTCCGTAGTGATACTGCCTCGGAAACCCAAGGAGGGGTCGCTATGAGTCGGGGCCGATTCGACGGCACTTAACAACAACAACAACAGGTTCTTTAAAAACAATCCTCAGACTTCATTTCATCAGATTCTTTTAAAAAATATAGCCATAATATTCTTATCACACCTAAAAAATTAAACCCAACCCCCTGCTGTCGAGTTGGAACCAACTCATAGCGACCCGTCCTTGGGTTTCCGAGGCAATATTACTATGGAAGTAGATTGCCCAACCTTCCTTCTGAGGAGTAGCTTGTGGGTTTGAACTGCCAGCCTTCTGGTTAGCAGTCAAATGCCATAGGCACTGTGCCACCAGGACTCCCCCCAAAATTAGATTCCTTAATACCATCTGTTATAGATTGAATTGTATCCCTCCCAAAATATGCATTGAAGGACTAACTCCTGTACCTGTGAATGTGAGGTAGTTGGGAAATAGAATCTTTGAAAATATTGTTGTTGTTATGTGTCAAGTCAGTTGTGACTCATAGTAACCCTATGTACAGCAGAATGAAATGCTGCCCAGTGCTGTGTCATCCTCACAATCGTTGCAGTAACTGTGTCAATCCATCTCATTGAGGGTCTTCCTCTTTTTTGCTGATCCTTTACTTTATCAAGCATGATGTCCTTTTCCAGGGAATGGTCCCTCTTGATAATATGACCGAAGTATAACAGACGAAGTTTCACTATCCTTACTTCTAAGGAGCATTCTGGCTGTACTTCTTCCAAGACAGATTTGTTTGTTCTTCACCAACACTGTAATTCAAAGGCATCAATTCTTCAGTCTTCCTTATTCACAGTCCACTTTCACATGCATACGAGGTGATTGAAAATACCATAGTTTGGTATGCATAGGTGCATCTTAGTCTTCAAAGTGACTTCTTTGCTCTTTAATACTATAAAGAGATCTTTTGCAGGGCAGTATGTCGTTTGATTTCTTGACTTCTGCTTCCATTGACATTGATTGTAGTTCCAAGTAAAATGACAACTTTAATATTTTCTCCATTTATCCTGATGTTGCTTATTGGTCCAGTTGTGAGGATTTTTGTTTTCTTTCTGTTGAGGTGAAATCCATACTGAGGGCTGTAGTCTTTGATCTTCATCGGTGCTTCTAGTCCTCTTCACTTTCAGCACCAGAAACTGGGAGAGACAAGAAAGGATCTTCACCTAGAAAACATGGCCCTGACAACAACTTGATTTCCAGCTTCTTGCCTCCAGAACTGTGAGGCCATAAATTCCTGTTATTTAAAACCACCCAACTTATGGTATTCTGTTACAGCAGCCCCAGGAAACTAATACATCATCTGGTACTCAGCCAATGTTGAAATGTCCCTGATTGTCTCATGCCTTTTTAGAGTTGGTTTGTTTGAATCAGGATACTAATCCACAGCCGATATGACTCAGAAGTCTCTTTAAAATCTTAAGAGCGTCACATTTCTCCTCCCCTGTCTTTTGCCTGTCTCGTAGCCTTTTTCTTTTTCTTTGTCTTCCTTCCTCACTTGTCATTCATTGGTTGGAAAACTCAGGTCATTTGTCCTGTAGACTTTCCTACATTCTGGGATTTGCTGATTGATTCCCTTTAGTGTCTTTCAGCATGTTCCTTTGTCGCCAGAGTTTCCTGTAAACTTAATCAGGCTAAATCAGATTGCACTGTGGTGGTGGTGGTGGTGGTGGTGGTGATGACAACTATGATTTCAAAGATGGTGTGTTCTTCCACAGAAGGCATATGGTGTTCAGTTGCTCTCCTTGGAGGAGTTAAGAAGGAGCAGCACCTTCAGGGGTTGTTGGAGCCTGATCAGTCATAAATCACCCACCATTTTTCCTCCTGGGAAATTTAACTGCCTTTGGTGATTATTGTCTTGTTCCATTATTGTATTAGTTTATTTATTTATTTTTTATTTTAAGAGCTTGTTTTATGTTCAACGTTATGTGTACATCTAGTTTCACTCTCCATTTACCATGTCCAACCCTAACCCAGTCTCCTCCCTTCTCTACCCTGTAACCCTCCCCCTGTGCCCCTCATATTTATGCACTTTTGTTTGTCCTGCATTTCTTCAATTTGAATGTTGGTCCTCTGGTGCCCTGTGGTCTATTGCTCTAAGGGATGTATCACCATACAGTATGTGGGTGCGTGGTCTGCATGTACATCTTGTTAACTATTGGGTTGAGAGCCAGCCTCTGGGAGTGAGTTTTATTCCAAGCTCAGAATGTATTCCAGGGCCATAGTATTGGGGATTGTGAGGGGTCCACTCTGCCATCACAAAAGGCACCCCTGCTGCTGAGGAGCCAGACCCTAAAGGAAGAGAACAAAAGCTAGGTGTTCTGGTTATCTAGTGCTGCTCTGACAAGAATATATACCACAAATGGGATGGCCTTAACAAATAGGAGTTTATTCTCATAATTTGAGGCTTTAAGTCCGAGTTCAAAGTTCCAGGCTCTAGGGGCTGGGTGAAAGTCCCTCAACCTTGGGCTTCAGCTCTGCCTCCAGCTCCCGGCCCACTGGAGCTAGATGCATTTCTTCACTCAGGCAGTTGCTGGCTGCTGAGGCTGAGAAGCCTCAAGGTTGGCAAGTAAAAAGGCACAGTCCCGATATTACCAAACCACATGGCAGGCCATTAACTTAAGTCCATTGTAAGTCTCAAGGTTGGCAGAGCATAGCAGGCTGTTGAGCAACAACACGGCTACATGCAGGGTCCAAGCGTGTCAAATGCTAGAGACCATTCCCAAGGCTTCTCTTTATATACAGGAAGCAGGCCATATACCCAAAGCAGCTACTCAGCTGCTTGTGGTAGATCCCACCATGGAGCTGATTGCCAGTCTCATCATGGGGGATACTACCACCAGCTGCCCAGCCACTCAACCAGGCCCAGCCACGTTGATACACAAACATAACCATCACACTAGGTCACAGGAGGCTGCACTTTGAGGGCAGCAGAGTAGCCGCTGGGTTGACACATAGCCCTGCTGGGCCTGTGACCCTGCTAAGTCCCTGGCATGGCTGAGTGGGGGCACTCCAAGACACAAAGTCAGGCAGGGCCGTCTCCCAGGCCCTTGGTTTGGCACCACCACTACTGACAGGGCCAGGGGCAAGTCCTTTCACCTTCCCCGGCCTCAGGCCTTAGCTGTAAATGGAAACTGGATTGTGCAGTACAGTGCACTGGTTAATATGGCCCTTCTAGCCCTGGTCATTGTGACTTCCACCAGATGACTAGGTAGAACTATGCAAATGTGTGGTGCTCTCGCCACAAGCTAAGGAAATTGAGTAGCTTGTTAATAATGTAAATAAGGTACATGACACTCTTGTGAGGGTGGGACCATGAAAATAAGGTGTATAGAACCCTATGTGGGGAACTCTAAAGGAGGCATTGGTCAGTTTTGCCATCTGCTAGACATAAAATGAGCCATCCCAGAGGCAGAAGGGGGCAATCTCACTACTATCAAGAAAGAAGAGCCAGGACTGGAGCATGTCCTTTGGCCCCAAGATCCCTCCATTGAACCTCCTCAATCCAGGGAACAGAGAAAGAACTGTAAAATTTTGCTGAAATAGTGAGAGATGGCAAAGAAGCTGCAGCAGAGAAAAAGTGGCAGCAGACCCCAGCAGCAGAGACTGGCATGAGACAGAGTGG